TTATTACTAATATGTCTAGTTGCTTGGGAAGGACTTTGTTAGTTTTTAGTTAGTTTATTTTATTTTGTTTAGTTTTGATTTTTTATTTAGGTCTCAAGTTTTTTGTTTGGGCCGTTGGCCTCTGTTATTATTCATTTGGGACCGTTTTCTATTTATTCTTCTTTTGGGAGCTTTGTCATAGTTTTTTTAGTAGTGTCTTGTTTTTTGTTTCTAGCGTTTTTAGTGTCGGATCTAGTCGGTCTTCTGATCGGCCTCCTAGTTTATTAAGTTGTTGGTTGTGTTTATTCAGCTAGGGATTGTAACTTTGCATATTTGTACGTTTTGATCTATATATATTTCTATCGTTTTCTAAAAAAAAATATAATGGATATAGATATATATATATATATGTTATTATTAATTAGTTAACTTAATTATTTGAATGATTTAAATTAATTACATAGTATTTAATTAACAAAGTTTATATATAAAAATTTTATTATATATATACCCTCTATATATAATTTCAGAATGCGCTGAGCCTACGTGGCAAACTCTCATAGTTCGAAATCCATGATTGATTTCCTGTTATAACCTTTGAATTGTAAATGTATTTTAAAAGTATATAACGTTTGTATTTCTTATCGGTTTCTTATCGTATGTATAAAATAAATAAAATATATTTATCTTTATAATAATATAAAATATTTATTTATATTAATAATATAACGTATGTAAGTCTCACAAGTAACAAGTGTCATTCTAAAATATACATACAACATTTGATGTATTAGGTATTTAATTAAATACAAAAATTAATCTATTTTGCTTAATATTAAATAAACATATTCTACACTTATGCATATACATATCACAATATCATTTCTATTTATTTAAGATATATATTTTTGTACTTATGTAATAGTAAATAAGATCGATATTTTTATATGATATAAGTACAAAAAATTCAACACGAGTTGACATTTTCATTTAATGTACGGGTGTTTAATTATTATGCTTAAAAAATATAATTCAACAATTTAATTAAAACTCAAAGTAATGTTTTATATATAATTAAATTATTTTATTTAAAAAAATAAAAAAAATAATATTTTTTACAAAAGCTTTCTAATTCAACACTCGTGTAATTGTCTAGTAAAATATTATTTTACATACCTTATTAACCTTACTAATAAACTAAAATTCCTAGTGTGTCAATTGAAAAAATTTGAGTTTTGCAATAATTTTTACAATTGATATATAGTCAAATATATCATATGTATATTTATTTGAGAATTAAGCTTAATGAAATGGTCATAGTAAAAAGTAAACACCTTTATTTACTGTTTTGTTCAACAAATAGGGGTGGCGGCCATATTGACTTTGAATTTGGTTTTAATGTGAATTTCTTATTAATTGTTCCAACTTTTTATTTTTTATTATGTGATGGCTGACAATTGTCAAATCTCTAAATATTCTAATTTACAAAAAAAAAAAAAA